GTAGTTGGGCGACCACAGGTAATGCAGCCACCACCGCAGGAACTAATTTTATCGGCACAACCGATGCCATAGACTTTGTAACCAAAACCAATAATACCGAAAGAATGAGAATAACTTCTGCGGGCAATGTAGGCATAGGAACTACGTTGCCTGAAAAGAAACTGGATGTAGCCGGGGATATAAAAATTGGTGCTAATAACTTAGCTACGAACGTTTGCGCTGCTACCGAGGCAGGTTCACTGCGCTACAACGCTGGTGCAATTGAGTTTTGTAATGGTAGCTCTTGGAATGTGTTGTCTAGCGGAGCTCAGCAAACCATTGCTATGCAAAGCGCCGCAACTACAGCGTCTGTTGCATCTATCATCAAATTACCACTGACGACATCTGCAACAACCGTTGTTAACTCTTTGGGGGCAACCATAGGAGACGATGGTACGCGTACATTTATTAAAGTCCCCACCGCAGGTGTCTACCGCATTGATGTTGTTGCATCAAATACCAACTCAAATGGTCTTGGTGGATTAACGACTATTCACTATTTTAAAGCACCCAACAATACCACTTATACACAAATTGATGTGGCACGGGCAGTCAAAGCTGTTGATGTTAATGGTACTCCTTGGTCAACCAGCAATGTTTTTGTCTTGAGCCCGAACGATAAATTAGCATTTGAAATAAATTTGAATTTAGGAAGCGGAGCTTTGAGTGCTACAGGTGGGACTTTTACCTATTCTGTGCAAGTCACTAAGTTGTAAAATCAGCCCGCATAGGTACGAATAGCCTGTATGCAGGCGTAATGCGTTGCGCCTGCTAATGCCGCAAAAAAATATTCTCTATAAGTATTTTGGTTTCGTGTTCTAAAATAGCTATCTTTATAAAAAATTGTTTAAAATATGAAATCATCTACTGCTCGCCGCCGCCTAAGCGTTGAAGATTATATCCTTTCGGAAGAAAAATCGGATATAAGGCACGAATTTATTAACCACCAACTCATTCCTATGGCTGGAACTTCGGATATTCACAATGAAATTTGTGGAAATTTATATATTTTATTTCGTAGTTTATTTAGAGGAACATTAACCAAAGTTTATCAAGAAAACATTAAAGTACAAATTACCGATAAAACGGATTACACCTATCCTGATATACTTGTCACTTGCGATGAGCGAGATGTAGAAAATAAATATATTAAAAAATTTCCTACTTTGATTGTCGAAGTACTATCCAATTCCACAAGGTTATACGATAAAACGGACAAATTTATTCGCTATCGCAAAATAGCAACCCTCCGCCACTATCTTTTAGTAGATGCCGACAAATTGGTTGTCGAATGTTGGACCAAAAACGACGAAGGAGAATGGGATTCGCAAACTTACACGACGCTTGAGCAAAATATAGATTTATCTGTTTTGAATGTTCAATTGCCGATGCTTCAAATCTATCAGCCACAATAAGATAACACAACTCTCTCACGAGCTACATTTGCTCGAAGAGGGTTGCCTACCAAAAAAACTGATACTTTTTTATCCTGAATTCGATTAAAATGAATTGATTATCAATATATTAAAGCTAATTATGTCGCGAGTGGGTGTTATCACCCCGCGCCCTCAACGCACAGAACCACCCTTTTTGATACAACCTTTGTTTTTTTAGCAAAACAAATGGGTGCGTAAAAGATAATTACGGGCACGGAATATTTTAATTCGCTTAAAATAAATCCAATGGCAGTCATCATATCTCTCAAAGAAAAGTTAACTAAATTTTTCCAAAAATGACGATTTTTATATTTTGGAACGGTTTTTGAAGCATGAAATGCATAGAAATGTTTTTCCTTAATAAACTAAAAATGATTACGATGAATTTATTTAACTTTAAATTTTTGGGTATATTTTTCGCATTAATATTGTTATGGGGGGGGGGTAAACGCCCAAACCATTGTTGGTAGTGGCATAGCAGGCACGCCCGCCAACGCAGGTGCGTGGATTGAAATGAGCAATGGCGCATTAGCCACCAGCGCAAGTCGCGGTTTTCTTATCGCTCGCGTGGATATGTCCACCATCGCCAACACCTCTACTTGGGGCATGAATGGCACAGGCACCGCAGGCATTATGGTGTATAATACTGGCACAGGCAATGGCTTCACTCCCGGCTTATATATTTGGACAGGCGCTGCATGGCAACAAACAGCTACTTCATCGAGTAGTTGGGCGACCACAGGTAATGCAGCCACCACCGCAGGAACTAATTTTATCGGCACAACCGATGCCATAGACTTTGTAACCAAAACCAATAATACCGAAAGAATGAGAATAACTTCTGCGGGCAACATAGGCATTGGAACTACTGCTCCATCTAATTTGCTTCACTTAAATGGAAATCAAGCTTATCAATTAAGATTAACAAGTAGTTCAGCTCGTCCGGGTATATTCTTTGAAAGCACCAATACTTCTAATACCAATACGGTTCAACTTCTTGAATTTTATGACCATAACGGAACAACAGCCAATCAATTTCATGGGCAAATTGCCATGTATGATGGTTTAGAAAGTGTAGCATTTCGTAAAGATGCTCTTTTCTTTCTTAATAGTAGAAATGCTCCCATTTTATTTACTACCAACGGAAGCATAAACACTATTACAGACGTTGATATGGCCATTGCTGGAAATGGTCAAGTAGGAATAGGAACTACTACACCCACTAGCATTTTGCACACATACGATTCCAATACTGGAGTCTGGGGAGGTCCAACGTTTGAAAGTAAAAGTGCATCTTTGGGAGTACAAATATCCTTAAAAAATGATGTAGGAAAGTTATGGAATCTTGGCGCAGCAGGAAGTACAAATGCAACTAATGCCAATAATTTTTTTATTTGGGGATCCGATGCTGGCACTGCTTTGACTATAGAGCAAAGCACTGGCTATGTTGGTATAGGTACGCTTAATCCTACATTTCCACTTCATGTGTACAATCAATTGAATTGGCCTGGATCTGGTTCATATTTTTATAATGGCATTAATAATTTTGCTGCTAATCCGGGTTGGAATACCAATATTAGCATTTATTCAAACGGCTCTATGTGTAGTTCAGGTGGATTCTTTACAAGCTCTGATGAGCGCATCAAAGATATAAAAGGCGTAAGCAATGCTTCGGAAGATTTAAATATTTTAAATAAATTGAAAATTGTTGATTATACAATGAAAGACAAAGTGAAGTATCTGAACAAATCATACAAAAAAGTAGTGGCTCAAGACGTTCAAAAGGTATATCCACAAGCCGTAGGTGTTACTACGGAAAATATACCTAATGTGTATGCAAGGGCAGAAAAAGTGGAAAAGCAATCAAATAATACCTATCTAATAACCATGAAAGATAAACATACATTGAGCGACGATGCTAAGAGTATTCGTCTGATATTAGAGGTTGGAAACAATGTTTCCGATATAGAAGCAGACCTTATAGCTACACCTTCAGCACATCAAATACTTGTAAAAACCAATAAATCAATAGATAACGATAAAATTTTTGTATATGGCGAGAAGCGAAACGATTTTCTAACGGTAGATTACGAAGCACTTTCCACCTTAAACATATCTGCAACTCAAGCACTTTCAAAACAATTGGAAGAAGCAAAAGCCCAGATAGAAGTGCTAAAAACCCAGAACGCCGAAATCCTGAAATTACTACAATCAAGAAAATAAGGAAAAATGATATAAATATGGGTTTTATTGTTAAAAAATATTTTTTGTCTCCCCGACAATGTTGTCGGGGTTTTTTATTTTATAAACCTGAGAAATATTTTTTTTATTTTTTATCTAAACTTTAAACTAAACTTTTCCAAGAATGACGATTTTTATATTTTGGAACGGTTTTTGGCGTATTGTATTCATTTATAATAAATAAGGACAAATAATGACTTTTTAATGTAATTTTACGTTATAAAAAAAAAAGTGAAAAAAATTTATATTCTGATAAAATATAGATAAATTTGCCATGTTTGTATGATAACCAAATACAAGTTCATTGACAAATGGGAGGGGTTGCCTAATAAAATCTTATTATCCAAAATAAGCATTGGGAGTTAACAATGCTATACGAGCGTAGAGTTTACATAAGACTTCTTCGGAAGCAATAAACGTTGAAACGCTTAGGATGTAAAATGTCATTATTTGTCATTGAAATCTATAACTATTATAATGTGTACAAGAAAATCGAACAATCCCATTGGTAGCAGCAGCGGTAAAAGAGCTAAATGACAAAGTAGAATCCAAGAATATTGAAATAAAAGCCCTGAAAACAAAATTAGAAGCCTTGGAAGCTCAAAATGCCGAAATCCTGAAATTAATAGAATCGAAAAAATAAGGAAAAATGATATAAATATGCGTTTTATTGTTAGAAAATATTTTTTGTCTCCCCGACAATGTTGTCGGGGTTTTTTATTTTATAAACCCGAGAAATATTTTTTTTGTATATTTTTTTTACGACTAAAAAATATTTGATTTATTTATATCTAAATTTTTATAATTTTTCGAGATTTAAATTTAGCTTTGCAAAGTAATTATAATTATTGTATTTTTTACACTAAGTATTTTTACGATTTTTATGGATTACATTTATTCAAATACTAAATTATTTAGATGCTAAGACACTTAAAACCAATAATTTAGGCTCGCATAGTATCTAATACCACAATATTTAAAAATTTTTATTGAATATAAAAACATCAAATTACACCACCTTTTTTATTCTTTTTAATTGTACAGCATGAAAATCAACCATCGTCAGAAAACGAAAATTGTTGCTACGGTAGGTCCTGCCAGCAGTTCTTACGAAAATCTTTTGGCATTAGCTCGGGCGGGCGTAAACGTGTTTCGCCTCAATTTTTCGCATGGCTCGCACCACGACCACCAGCAAGTTATTGATCATATTTCTTACATCAACGAAAAATATCACTTGTATCTGAGCATTTTGGCAGATTTGCAGGGACCAAAACTTCGGGTTGGCAAAATAGAAAACAATGAGATGCCACTTGCACAAGGCGATATTCTGACCTTTGTGAATGAGAAATGTATTGGGAATAAAGAAAGAATTTATATGAGCTATAACCAATTTTCAACTGATGTAAAGCCTGGAGAAAAGGTGCTCGTCGATGATGGAAAGGTTGTACTCGAAGTAGTCGAAACGAATAAAAAGGATACAGTAAAACTTAAAGTTTTGCATGGCTCGGTGCTTTCTTCTAACAAGGGCGTAAATCTGCCTGATACGAATGTGTCGTTGCCAGCCTTGACCGAAAAAGATTTGGAAGACTTGGATTTTATCCTTACGCAGCCTATTCATTGGATTGCACTGTCATTTGTGCGTTCTTCTAAGGATTTAAAGGATTTGCGCGAGCGCATCGATGCCAAAGGTCATCCTGCAAAAATCATCGCTAAAATTGAAAAACCTGAAGCTATTGAAAAGATTGATAAAATTATCAAACACGCCAATGCTATTATGGTGGCACGCGGCGATTTGGGCATAGAAACGCCTATGGAACGCCTGCCACTTATCCAAAAGATGATTATTAAAAAATGTATACAACGCGCTCGCCCTGTTATTGTAGCAACCCAAATGATGGATAGCATGATAACCAACCCCAGCCCTACACGCGCTGAGATTACTGACGTTGCCAACGCCGTATTAGACGGTGCCGATGCGGTTATGTTGAGTGGCGAGACTTCGGTAGGTCTGCATCCTGTGCGTGTGGTAGAAGCCATGAGTAGCATCATCGAAGAAGCAGAAAAACACTATGATGTGCAAAGCAAACGCCCAATGGCTTCTGACAAATCTAAAACTTTTCTGTCTGACGTTATTTGTTTTAGTGCAGCTCGAACCGCCGAAGAAATCAATGCTAAAGCCATTGTTGGTATGACTAGCTCTGGATATACAGCCTTTAAGGTCTCGAGTTATCGCCCAAATTGCGAAATTTTTATGTTTTCTGACCGACCGCATATGCTTTCTACGATGAACCTCATCTGGGGTGTACGTTGTTTTTATTATGATAGATTTACGACTACCGATGAAACGATTGAAGATGTAGTCGAAATTTTACAAAAATCTGATGTAATTAAATTAGGAGACATCATCGTGAACACAGGTAGTATGCCCTTACATAAACGCTATCGGACAAACATGCTAAAAATAACCTTAATTGGTGAAAATGAAGACGGAAGCCATGACGACATTGCTGACCAATAATTAAATCAACTGCGTCTAAATCAGAATTTTAAAATTTTGGTGTATTTTTGCCCCTCATTCTTTAAAATTTTGATTTAGACGATGACCACTAATCCGCTTGATATACTTCGCCAATATTGGGGTTATCCTGCCTTTCGCCCACTTCAAGCAGAGATAATTCAGTCTGTTTTGGATAATAATGATACCCTCGCATTACTACCCACAGGTGGCGGCAAGTCTTTATGTTTTCAAGTTCCTGCATTGTGTCGTGAAGGTATTTGCATCGTCGTTTCGCCTCTGATTGCCTTGATGAAAGACCAAGTATATCATCTCCGAGCGCGAGGTATTGCCGCTGAGGCCATCTATTCGGGTATGCACTACAAAGATATTGACCGAATTTTGGATAATGCTGTTTATGGGCAACTCAAGTTTTTATACCTTTCGCCCGAACGCCTAACAACCGACCTTGCCCGAGAACGTATCAAACGCATGAAAGTCAATCTTTTAGCGGTTGATGAAGCACATTGCATTTCGCAGTGGGGCTATGATTTTCGTCCATCTTACCTCCAAATTGCCGAATTGCGCGAATTTTTGCCCCAAGTGCCTATTTTAGCGTTGACCGCCACAGCAACCAAAACAGTTGTGATAGATATTCAGGAAAAATTATTGTTTAGAAAAAACAATGTTTTACAAAAAAGTTTTGCTCGCCCCAACTTAACCTATCTTGTATTAAACGAAGAAACCAAGGAAACTAAGCTCATTGATATTTTAAAAAAAGTGCCAGGCACAAGTGTTGTTTATGCCCGAAATCGTCGAAAAACAAAAGAGTTGGCTTTGATTTTGCAAAAAGAAGGTATTTCTGCCGATTTTTATCACGCGGGCTTGAGCAACGAAGAACGTTCAGAAAAACAAAATGGGTGGACTTCGGGCAAAATCCGCGTTATCGTTAGCACCAACGCTTTTGGTATGGGCATTGATAAGCCTGATGTGCGCACCGTTATTCATCTACATCTACCTGACAGCTTAGAGGCTTATTTTCAGGAAGCAGGGCGTGCGGGGCGCGATGAAAAGCGGGCTTATGCAGTTTTGCTTTACAATAAAACAGATAAACTCGCACTGGAGCAAAGTTACGAAATTTCGTTCCCCGATATGCCCAGTTTACGCCAAATTTACCAAGCCTTAGGCAGCTATTATCAGTTAGCTATTGGGGGCGGTATGGGCGAAAGTTTTGATTTTGATATTGCCGAATTTTGTCAAAATTTTAAATTAGAATCTTTAAAAACGTTGAGTTGCCTCAAAATTTTGGAGCAAGCAGGCTGGATTGCCGTTTCTGAGGCCGTTTTTATCCCGTCTATGTTACATATTGTAGTGGATAGAGAAACTTTGTACGACTATCAGTTGCGCAATAAACGATTAGATAATATTATTAAAATTATTTTGCGCACCTATCAAGGTATTTTTCAACAACTCGCGCCTATAAATGAATATCAACTTGCCAAATTTTTGAAAATGACGACCAAAGATTTGATACAAGCGATTCATATCATGCACCGAGATGGTATGGTGCAATATCGCCCCCAAAAAGATCGCGCTCAACTGACTTTTTTGCGCGAACGCGTCGATGCACGTAATCTTGAAATAGACCAAAAAATGTATCAAATGCGCAAAAAACGTTTTGCATATCGCATTTCTAAAGCTATTGCTTACGCAGAAACGGCTTTTTGTCGTAGCCAACAATTATTAGATTATTTTGGTGAAGAGGATAGTTCTACCTGTGGCGTGTGCGATGTGTGTATTGGGCGCACCAAATCTGACTTAAATAATACGGATTTTGAATATTTTAAAGAAAAAATAAAACAAAAACTATCCCAACAGCCATGGAGTATACAAGAAATATTGGTTGATTTTTCACCTAACCAAAAAAATCAGGTACTTCGTGCGATAACGTTCTTGGTGGATGAAGGGCAAATTTGTAGAGAAATGGATAAATTAAACTGGATAGAGCACTCATAACTGATGAATGGAGAAACCTAAAACTTATTTTTAAATCAAAAGATTAAAATTTTATTTAAATCATTGATTATCAATAGCTCCACAATTTGAAAGTTGAGCCAAGTTTATTATTTTAATCAAAACACTTCTTTTACGGATAAAATAATATTTGAATATCGTTTTTTTTTTCATATCTTTGCACGAAATCCATAGCTATTTTGTTCTGTTGTTCGGACTGCCTAAAATTAGGAGCTCGATTTTCTATGAATTCGAGTTACTATTTTTAGAAGTGGTCTGCTGTTTCAATCCTAAAACGCCGTCCCAAAGTTATTTTTGAAAAAATTTTATGGCTACCAGCGTAGAGGCTGCTGATAGCTTATGTATTGTTATTTTTAAAAATAAAGTTAAAACGGTGGTTTGTGCACTAAAACAGATACGCTAATACCATAGAAAAACTATAGAAAAACTTTAATTTTTTAACAAAAACTACCAAACTATGAAGAAAATCGTCATCGTCGGAGGCGTAGCTGGGGGAGCTACTGCCGCGACACGTCTTCGCCGCTTAAGTGAAAACATCGAAATTGTTATGTTTGAACGAGGTGGCTATGTGAGCTTTGCCAATTGTGGCTTGCCCTATCACCTAAGTGGCGTTATTCCTGAACGCAAAAAATTATTACTTCAATCGCCTGAATCATTCAAATCTCGTTACAACGTTGATGTTCGTGTAGATACTGAAATAATAAAAATTAATCGACAGAAAAAACGAATTGAAGCTAAAAACCTCATTACCGGCGAAGTTTATGAAGAATCTTACGACATTTTGCTGCTTTCGCCAGGAGCAGAGCCTAACGTACCTGCTATAGCTGGGCTTCGAGAAGCGGGCTATCATTTTATGCGCAGCATCGAAGATTTAGACGGTGCAATGGCAACTTTAGCTAACAATGCCTCGCACAAAGGTAACGCTTTGGTAATTGGAGGTGGTTATATAGGTTTGGAAGTTGCGGAAAACTTAGTAGAAGCGGGCATTACAACGCATTTAATTGAACATGGAAAGCAAGTCATGGCAGCAGTTGATATCGAAATTGCTGTGCGCATACATGAAGAACTGCTAAAAAAAGAGGTTTTATTGCATTTAGAAACTGGTATTGAAAAAATTGTGACAACAAATGGCGCATCTAAGGTATATTTAAAAAATAAAAAAATTTTAGATGTAGATGCTATTTTTGTGGCTACTGGTGTGCGCCCACGCACAAGATTAGCATCTGATGCAGGTTTAAGCATCGGAAAAAAAGGTGGTATCCTTGTAAATGAATATTTCCAAACAGATGACCCCGATATTTTCGCCGTAGGTGATGCTATCGAAATAAAACATTTAGTACACGGAAAACCAGCCATTATTCCACTGGCTTGGTTGGCAAATCGTCAAGGGCGATTGGTGGCTGATAATATTTTGGGCATTCGTAAAAGAGCCTTCAAAGGAGGTTTGGGCACATCTATCGTCAAAATTTTTGACCTTACCGTAGCTGCAACAGGCTTAAATGAACGTTTTTTAAAAGAAAATAGAATCCCTTACGAAGTTGCCACGATTAATCGTTTGGATCACGCAGGATATTACCCTGAAGCTCAAGATATGATTTTAAAACTCCTTTTTAACAGAGAAGGTAATATCTTGGGCGCTCAAGCCATTGGTCCCAAATCAGTTGACAAACGAATTGATATTATTGCTTCGGCAATGATAGCCAATATGACCGTTTATGACTTGCAAGAAATAGAAGTCGCTTATGCACCACCTTATAACTCAGCCAAAGACCCTGTGAACATTGTTGGTTATTTAGCAGAAAATATGCTAACAGGTATGGTGGAGCAAGTCGAATATCATCAATTAGACGAATTGCTGCAGCAAAGAAATCATGTTTTGTTAGATGTGCGCACACCTGCCGAATTTGAGGAAGGCACTATTCCGGGTGCCGAAAATATTGAATTAGATGTTTTAAGAGATAATTTGAATCATTTAGATAAAAATAAAACATATATTGTTTTTTGTAGAGTAGGATTTCGTTCATACAATGCCTGTCGCATTTTGGTCAATCATGGTTACAAAGCGGTCAATCTAAATGGTGGATTCACCCTTTGGCAGCCGATTGCTCGTCGCCTTCATTATACCAACTATATCGGTATTCAAATCGAAAACCATCAATTTGAAATGGCACTTGCATCTGACCATAAAATCGTTGCTACCCAGCGTTATCCCAACAACCATGCAGGATGCGAATTGATGCTCAAAGATTTAGAAAATTTGAACTGCCAATGTGAAGATACGCTTTTTTATATTAGGAGTGCTCATCACAGAACACCGCTTTACCAATGCTTGAGTAAACGCGGATCCAATATTTGGCTGCATGATAACCAAATCAATGGCACGTTTCCGCAAAATATAGCCGCTGCAAACTTGGCTATATATGCCATGAAACATACAACTAAAGCTAAAATATTCGAACCACCAAAAGAAGTAAAACGTCAATTACAATTATTAGCAGCAAGTAAGCAAAAATTAATAACGGTTAAAAGTAATTTAATAATGCCACTTAAAGGAGAACATAACACCGATGATAATGGATACGGGCAGGACTCGCTACAGGAATTTTATTGGGATACCTTAAATGCACTTGACCAAGATTTGCACAATATTGATTCAAAAATAGATACTTTATGGTCTTTATCCTTATCCATGGTAAATCATTAATTTTTGACTGTAGCTTTCGCTCTACGGTTTTTTGAACCACAAACTAAGTGTGAAAAAATGTGATAATTAGGGGCGTTGAGATTTCGGGTTTCAACGACCCTTTTTTGTGCCGTTTGGGGTTATGTAATAAGTTATTGATTATTAAGTTATTAGATTATTTTTAATTCATAAAAAATTGATAATTTGATCATTATATATGTAATCTAAGTTTTGTGGTATAAAATGTAATATATTTAAATTATTAAAATGTGTAATATATTTATTATCAATATTTTATATTTTTATACTTTTTTGTACTAAAATTTAAAAACTATACAAAAATAAAATTACATTGTTTAGA